AATAAATTATTTGTTTAGAACGATATCATCCTTGCAAGAAATTTAGCCAATCTCTCTTTTATTTTTTCTGGAAGGGGGGGGGGGGTAAGTAGGGCCAATTAGGGGGCGGCTAGGATGACCATTTGGCCCGGGCCTTAAGCTGAAAGTGGGCCTCAAATTTAGTCACTTGTTATTATTTTGCATGTGTTAAGTTTCGCGACTTGTTTTTATGTGTCTCCCAATCAGAACAAAATGTGACACACACACACAATCTCAACTTAGAGCTGCAAATTATACATGTAAATTAAATATTAAAATTATGTTTGACTTTTCTTTTAGGGCTAATGTTTGCCTTATTCTGTTTTCGTGTGTCGTCATTTTTTGTTTTTTTTATAGCCAGTGGCCTCAAAAGATAGAAGTGGCCCGAGCCACTTTGAACCTCTGACCGGACCTGATCGCAAATTTTCCAGTTTTATAAAAGGTTCGTCCGAGTTCAAATAATTTCGAGAACCCCGGGTCTAAAAAACTAGGAACGTTAAAACGTATGCTTAGTTCTAAACACAATAATTCCTTCTTTTAAAAATAAAATATAAAGCAGTCATGTAAACACGTCGTTAAAAAAAGAATCAGTATGTATTTGGACAAATAGCTTGAGGGAATATCACGTGTTTCCTTCCTTGAAACTGTGGCGTCGCAGGAAATTACAGAACGTGTTATTTGTTATAGCGTCTGTAGTGTATATGTATATCCATACAATTAAAACTGGAGAAGACTCGTGGACGCTGTAAGGTGTCTGTAGTGTATATGTATATCCATACAATTAAAACTGGAGAAGACTCGTGGACGCTGTAAGGTATCTGTAGTGTATATATATCCATACAATTAAAACTGGAGAAGACTCGTGGACGCTGTAAGGTATCTGTAGTGTATATATCCATACAATTAAAACTGGAGAAGACTCGTGGACGCTGTAAGGTATCTGTGGTGTATATATCCATACAATTAAAACTGGAGAAGACTCGTGGACGCTGTAAGGTATCTGTAGTGTATATATATATATATATATCCATACAATTAAAACTGGAGAAGACTCGTGGACGCTGTAAAGTGTCTGTTATTTGTAACCTGAACAACACTTTATTCGACAATTGGTCAGGGTGCCTAGAGTTCGGGTATCACGATACCAAATTAAAAACTGCTGACCAGAGGGGGAGGGGGACAAACAGTCAGCAGCACACGCCACCTACGCAACTATACCTAGTCGAATAGCGGCATTCACTATGCTCATAATAACGTTCCCACAGTTGAAAGTTAGAGAATGCTAAGTGGAATATTGCGGCTCGAACCTTGGATCCAAATTCTTGATATCGAGGCTTGAAACTTGGACCCTTTGATGCAGAACTCGGCATACTAATTCCTAAAGAGCTACGCCCACACTGGCTACTATAAGGATTGTTCTTTATTGGGGAAAAAAAAACACGGTAAACTGATGATTGACAGCTCCTCAGCCAATCAAGTCATCTGAAACATTCTTTAAATACTTGGTTGGTTAAAAAGCTAGCTGTCTTCTAAGACAATATGGATAAGATGTTGCATTAGTCACGAGTATATTCTTCTTCTTCTTTATTATCTTATTACTCTGTTACATATTATACTGACTGTCCTATGTATATATATCACATACATTTTCTGGTTCGTAGGAATACACGCACGTAATTGGGTTGCTATGGCTTCTTTCGTTCAATATGCACGTTACGTTTCAAACTGTAATACGGATTAAACGTAAAATAATTTCTAAACTTCTATTCTCGTGTTCTTCATCATTACTAGTTCAATACTGCTTTCTTAAACTGTTTTTAATTGCATGCGTTTCTGTACGAAACGCCGTTAAGTTTTAAACTCTTCCCAGCCCTAAAATGGTCGAGTATAACGTTTGTGTAATTCTGCACTCGTGTTTATCGATTAGTCATAGAGTTAGGCCTATTTATATAAATATTTATACAACGATCATTTGTTAAAGTTATTACGAACTTTTTTTCTTTACATTTCTGAAAATCGAAACTTCTTGAGATTTAATATTAAACAAATTAAATTTGAGATTAGGTTAAATATTATATTAATTTAATTTTGGGGTATTTTTTTTTTAAATCATCTTCTGATATGTTTTGACTTTACAGGTAGGTGTTCGTCTGTTGTTAAAATGGAAATAATTTTATTGGTAAAATATTTCATGAAACTCACATTCTTATCCCCGCTAGAGGAGGTGTAGGTAAAATGTTTATAGCAGTGGTTATTATGTCACCAACACATAGGAGGATTTAGAAAACATATCCAGATCAAAATTCTATTCTGTTAAATGTGTTTAAAATTAAGAAACGTTGTCTCGTGAAACTGACCATACATTTTGCAGAATCAATGAATTAAATAATTATTTATAACGAATACCGAAAATGACCTGTCACCACTCAAGTGATGAATAAAAAGTGATCTCACTTCTGGTATTTCAAGCTAGAGAAATACAATTTATTCAATACCGTGATTTCTTAACTAGGTTTCTGTTTTAGTTTCTGTCACTTGTTTTTGTTTGTTTTATTTCCTTAGATAAAACGTAGAAAAACTACTGTTTTTATCGTTTGTTTCAGAATAAAATTATGTTATTACAAAATAACGGTCTCGTGTAATTATTAAGATCACAACACACAGAGACAGCCACTATTTCTTTTATCAAATTCAGGTGGACTCAGATAGAGAAGAAATATACAAAAATGCTTACATGTGGTTCTGAATATAATGATATAACACACACGTGGAACAACACCAGTACATACAACACGTGCTCGACACGCTCAGAACTAACAGTTAGGCAACTAAGTGAAGCCTTATCAGATGGTGTATGCTCTTTATGGCAAAGCCACATCGCCCTATTTGCTGTGTCCACCGAGAGGAATCAAACCCCTGATTTTAGCGTTGTTAATCTGTAGATTTACCGCTGTCCCTGTTACTAAAGCCGCAGGTTAAGAAAAGTTATTAGGGGTGTTAGGGGGGAGGTGCATACAGTTTAGAAAAGGGAGTCTGGATCCATTTCGAGGGCATCAGCAAGCCTCAGGGGTGAGGCCTATTTCTTATATTTCTGTTATTTCTACTGACGAAAAGAAAATATTTTTTGTGACATGCGTAGTCATTTATTTTTCTTACATCTGACAACAATCAGTCCAACAAACAACACTAACAAAGGAAGTTTTACATTCTGAAACTTATCATGAAACACTTCCCTACGGATATAGTCAGTAAGAACAATACTTCCCTACGGATATAGTCAGTAGTAACAATACTTCCTTGCGGATATAGTCAGTATAAACAATACTTCCCTACGGATATAGTCAGTAGTAACAATACTTCCTTGCGGATATAGTCAGTAGAAACAATACTTCCTTGCGGATATAGTCAGTAAGAACAATACTTCCTTACGGATATAGTCAGTAGTAACAATACTTCCCTACGGATATAGTCAGTAGTAACAATACTTCCTTGCGGATATAGTCAGTAGAAACAACACTTCCCTACGGATATAGTCAGTAGTAACAATACTTCCTTGCGGATATAGTCAGTAGTAACAATACTTCCCTACGGATATAGTCAGTAGAAACAATACTTCCTTGCGGATATAGTCAGTAGAAACAATACTTCCCTATGGATATAGTCAGTAGAAACAATACTTCCCTATGGATATAGTCAGTAGTAACAATACTTCCTTGCGGATATACTCAGTAGTAACAATACTTCCTTGTGGATATAGTCAGTAGAAACAATACTTCCCTATGGATATAGTCAGTAAGAACAATACTTCCTTACGGATATAGTCAGTAGTAACAATACTTCCCTACGGATATAGTCAGTAGTAACAATACTTCCTTACGGATATAGTCAGTATAAACAATACTTCCCTACGGATATAGTCAGTAGTAACAATACTTCCTTACGGATATATTCAGTAGTAACACTGACACTACTTTTTCCTCTCCATCATTAGTGATTTGTAAACTTTAATCGTTATATCAAATATTCATCCATTTTCCCACTCGTGCTCCACTCTCAAGGCTCTATCTTGTCATTATATCAAATATTTTCCTTTTTCACACTCGTGCTCCACTCTCAAGGCTCTATCTTGTCATTATATCAAATATTTCCTTTTTCACACTCGTGCTCCACTCTCAAGGCTCTATCTT